CTGAGTGTGATGTTTCGGATGATCTTCCCTTCATGTGCATGTACTTTCCCTTTATGTGGATGTGCTTTCCATAAGTTATAGTCACTCATTGTCATGTTCATACTCAGTGTGATGTTCCGGATGATCTTTCCTTCATGTGCATGTACTTTCCTTTAATCCTAGCCACTCATTGTCATGTTCATACTTAATGTGATGTTCTGGATGATCTTCCCTTCATGTGTATGTACTTTCCTTTAGTCCTAGCCACTGATTGTCATGTTCATACTTAATGTGATGTTCCGGTTGATCTTCCCTTCGTGTGCATGAGCTTTTCATTAGTCTAGCCACTCATCGTCATGTTCATATCTAGTGTGATGTTCCGGTTGGTCTTCCCTTCATGTGCATGTGCCTTCCATTAGTTTATCCTCTCAGTGTCAAGTTTATGTTTGGTGTGGTGTTCCGGACCTTTACTTAGTTGATCCCTTTTCTTTGTGCATGTACTATCCACTAGTCTAGTCTTTCATTGTCAAGTTCATGTTCCGGATCTTTACTTAGTTGATCTCTTCTCTTTCTGCATGTGTTTCCACTAGTCTAGCCTTTCATTGTCAAGTTCATGCTGGGTGTGATGTTCCGGATCTTTACTTAGTTGATCTCTTCTCCTTGTGCATGTGCTTTCCACTAGTCTAGTCTCTCCTTGTCAAGTTCATGTTGGGTGTGATGTTCCGGATCTTTACTTAGTTGATCTCTTCTCCTAGTGCATGTGCTCTCACTAACCTAGCCTCTCATTGTCAAGTTCATGTTGGGTGTGATGTTCTGGATCTTTACTTAGTTGATCTCTTCTCCTTGCGCATGTGCTTCCACTAACCTAGCCTCTCATTGTCAAGTTCATGTTGGGTTGTGATGTTCCGGATCTTTACTTAGTTGGTCTCTTCTGTTTATGCATGTGCTTCCACTAGTCTAACCTTTCCTTGTCAAAGTTCATGTTTGATGTGATGTTCCGGATCTTTGCTTTAGTTGATCTCTTCTCTTTGTGCCTGTGCTTTCACTGATCTAGCCTTTCATTGTGAAGCTCATGTTGGATGTGATGTTCTTGACTTTACTAAGTTAGTCTCTTCTCTTTGTGCATGTGCTTCCACTAGTCTAGCCTCTCATTGTCAAGTTCATGTTTGATGTGATGTTCCGGATCTTTACTTAGTGAAGCTCTTCTCTTTGTGTATATTTTTCTACTAGTCTAGCCTCCCCTTGTCAAAGTTCATGTTTGATGTGATGTTCCGGATCTTTGCTTAGTTGATCTCTTCTCTTTGTGCATATGCTTCCACTAGTCTAGCCTCTCATTGTCAAGTTCATGTTTGATGTGATGTTCCAGATCTTTACTTAGTTGATCTCTTCTCTTCGTGCATGTGCTTCCACTAGTCTAGCCTCCCATTGTCAAGTTCATGTTGGGTGTGATGTTCGCACTTTACTTAGTTGATCTCTTCTCTTTGTGCATGTGCCTCCACTAGTCTAGCCTCCCATTGTCAAGTTCATAGGTGATGTAAAGTTCCGGATCTTTGCCTAGTTGATCTCTTCTCTTTGTGCCTGTGCTTTCACTGGTCTACCCTTTCATTGTCAAGTTCATGTTGGATATGATGTTCCGGACTTTACTTAGTTAGTCTCTTCTCTTTGTGCATTTGCTTCCACTCGTCTAGCCTCTCATTGTCAAGTTCATGTTGGATGTGATGTTCCGAACTTTACCTAGTTTGTCCCTTCTCTTCATGCACGAGCCTTTCAATAGTCTAACCTCTCGTTGTCAAGTTCATGTTTGATGTGATGTTCCGGATCTTGTTTAGATGATCTTCTTCTCTATGAGTATGTGTTTTTCATTGGTCTAGCTTCTCGTTGTCATGTTATTCCAAGATATGCTTATTCAATCTCTCACTATGGGACGGGTGATCGACGTTTGGTTGCTGCTACGGGGAGCTGAATTGATTAGGAGTTCTTCTTGTTCTCTCTCTCTCTCTCTCTCTCTCTCTCTCTCTCTCTCTC